TAGGATGCCATTTAATAATATTTGAATTATAAACCTAACTGATAAGACCACAAATTGTGATAATTCGAAATCTTATGGCTCTGTATCCGCCTTAGATCAACATACTGTTTCAGTTCCGCTCGTCGCCAAATAGCCTTGTTTAAAAAAAATGAAATAAGGATATGTCAGGTAGCACTATCACCCATAACTTACTTATTCCGTGTTAAAGCTCAAAGTCTTCACAGTATTCCTTCAAAAAATTCCTTATTGAAGATTTTTTCCTTCACGTTCCACAGCAGAACATAGGGCTTCAGCTAGTGGCTTGAAGTTTCAGTAGCAGTGTTCGATTTTACAGGATGGGGTTGCTAGCCTCATGCCCAACCTTTCCTCTTTACCAGCATTATTTCTGGCTTAGTGAGGTAAAGGAGTGCGTCTGTGGTGGGGAATCGAACCCCGGACCATATGCATGGTAGGAGAGCGTCCTAACCGTTTCGCCACCGACGCACTGCAAAATGATGCTATTTCTTATAGTAATAGAGGCATAATTAAATTGGTTAGTTTTCCTCCCAGTTACACTCCATATGATCGAGTCTTTAGAGAATAACTTAAATGGCATATATATCCAAACCAAATTCACTTTTACCAGTTTGAACAAACTTTCGCATTCGGTGTATGACATTAATTGTTATGAAAGCTTATGTATCTCATAATGAATGAAAAACAAAACGATATTGTTTTCACTGATGTTTCGCCATTTAGTGCTCATAGCTTTATCGAACTATTATTAAGCCAGAATTTACAAAATATGTTTTTAAATCTTTACCAAGTAGCTAAATTGACAATAACATATAAATAACCCATGCTAAAGGATGAATGATGATTAAGTTGCTGCATATAAGCTAAGATTTTGTAACTTCTGGTCTAATAATACTTTGATGAAGCTATTAGCGTTAAATAGTGAAACGTCAGTAAAAAAAACAATATCGTTTGGTTTTTCATTCATTGGGAAATACAGAAGCTTTTATAAAAACAAACTTAAATGTTATGTTGTTTCTAAATTACTGTAAAACGGATGCTCAACTATTGACTGTCTCCATGGTTACTTTTAATTTGAATTACGCGGGGGTTCAAGTTGGTCTAGGTAAACAAACTTATCATACAAGATCATTTCATCTAATAATGTTTTGTATCCATATTTATTTCATTTTTCAGATGAAGTGATGAAACACTGATAGTTCTAACAAATTTAGGTCGTTTTTAGGGATCTAAATGGGGATGGATATCATAAGCTGACTTAGGCTTATTGTCTTGAATCTTATACTGTGTATTAGAGGAATACCTGCATGGTTTAAGTAGCCGTAATGAGGACGTTATTTTCCTTTCTTAGTTGTAATGACCGCATATTCAAGGTAAAAATTCAAATAAAACTTTTCGTTACGACATATATTGAACCAGTGAATATGGATAAATTCAAGAAAATCCAAACGCTTCTTAATTGTATATTTATGTAATCTATAGAAATCAGTGTGTGACCGACTTACCTTAAAATTCAGGACACTTTTATAAACACTAATATCTCTATATTAATATATTACACTAAGTCTTTAGAGCTAGAAACCATAGCGAACAAAACACTATGTGGTGCCGAGAATTTTCAGGAAGCTTATTATGTGGTATTTTTGTTTTCTTTACTTCCTCAGTGGAACATAGGGCTTGAAGCTAGAGCTTTGAAACTTCGGTAGCAGTGGTGTTTATCTCTACGGGATAGCGTTGTTAGCCTCATAGCCAACCTTCCCTCTTTACCAGTCCTATTACTGGCTTAGCGAGGTAAAGGAGTGTACCAGCCGGGGATCGAACTGCCGACCACATGCGTGGTCGGCGAGCATTCCAATGCTGCGCCATCAACGCACATTATGTAGACGATACTGATTTTTAATTCACCTCTATATTCACTTCTCTCCAAGAAAACATTGCTGGCAACGTGAGTTTTCAAGGAAAGACTTAACCGATTAAATGAAAATGAGACTACAGCACTAGTAGGTTGATTGATAAAGATATTTAAACTACTTCTTCAATACTGATGTGAGACAGTAGCTTTAAATACATAACGTCAAAAAGTTATACATATAAATATATGTAAGCAAAGTAATAACTATGGAAAATAAGCTGTTCTACACATTTTTATCTTCTCTAAATGATAGCTTTTGAACTGGAAGAGGATTATTTGAAAAGGTTAACAATAACATATATATTTATATACATTCTCTCTCTCTTTTATGCATTTATAATGTATCTTATTCACTAACTATTCCGCTTCTGTTTTATACAGCAGTACAACACATTTCTAAATATTATTTCATATAAAATGTATATGCCTTCTGATTGCCCCCAAACAATTCACTAAATTTCTATAATCCTGAACTGTTAACATTTATTACATAAATATTTATGTTTTGATGCTAATTTATCAAGAAAATATTTTTACACCTATGCATTTGTATTCAGTAAGCGATACATATATTTCCTCAGATGGTTAGTGAATATACTTCCATGTCGTCTTAAAAGGTCAAATGGTTCAATAATATGATTTCTTTCATTCGAAATGTCTTGGGATCACTAAGTTACAGTTCCCATTAGATGATCTATGAGAAGGAAAAAATATCAGGTACAGAAATAAGATAATGCCAATCAGTTAGTATCACTTTTGATTTGGTTATATTCACTGAGCTAGTTGTTATAATTGGGAAGTTTCCATTTGGCTTCCAGACAATGAATCCCGCGAAAGCTTTAGTATGAAGTGAAGCTGTTTGGATTTCTCATGGATGATAGATGTGTATTTCCATATTGGATTCTTAGTCGAAAAGAATGCCCAGTTTCACGGATATATTGTTTATCGCAGATGATGCAGTTTATTTTGTAAACGGTATTGATCTTGTCTTCTTTGAGTGTTATATCCTTTGGTCTCCGCAGTATTGAATCAAGTGACTATTTCGGTTAATTTTTATTTATTTACAAATGTATCACCAAAATAACGTGTCTAGATTTTTAGTTTGAATATAGGTAGACCTATCATATCTAATCTTTGCACGACGGCTAAAGCAATTAGTCGTGATATGAGCGATTCCAATGATATTTTATTTGATCTGTTCGTTTCTAAGTCGCAGTAAAAACTAATCCATTAGTTTTAACCAAAAAATTTAATGTAGGAAATTACTTCCAAATGTTAATTCGGCAGGAGGAAGAGGCGAAGTGAACTGTTCTCACTGCGAAATAAAATCACTCCACGAGGAGACAGGCATAAAATGGACCCACACAAAACACTTAGAGGATGGGCATCGCAGATGATATATATCTGATTTCCCACAAACTGGGAGATATGCAAGTGAAAAGCAACAAGTTGGAAGAAGAAGCATCAAAGATAAGACTTCAATTCAAGTGAACATCGAGAAAACAGAGGTAGTGAAGATTCCTAGCCAACAGCAGCGACAGCAACAACAACAGACAACAATCAACTTAAATGGAAGAAGTACGAAAGAAGCAACCTCCTTCACCTACCTGCCTACCTACCTACCTACCTACGAAGCATCGTTTCAACTACAGGCGGAAAGAACTGATGAGGATATGAAAGTGAGGATAGGAAAAGCAGCCAAACTTTTATTACTCTCAAGTCAGTGTGGAGGACAACAGCATTCAGCATGAAAAATAAGATATGGATTTTCTACTCCAGTGTGAAGTCAGTGCTTCTTACTATACGTACGCATCAGAGACTTGGCACCGCGTCAAGAAGGCCACTTCAAACAAACTACACACCTTCATCAACAGATTTCTTCACCCAATACTACTCGAGATCAGATGGCCGGCCAGAAAACATCAGCAACAGGGATCTCTGGTAGTGAATGAACCAACTCAGCAGGAACCAATTGTGAAACAAATATGCAGGAAGAAATGGAGGCCACACTCTCACAATACAAACCATCAAGTGAGTGACGTCACATGCAAGGCCATCGCTCGACTGAATGGAAGCGGAGTGTTGGTTATCAGTGCGAAGATGACATGGAGGAGGAGGTCATGTGAAGAGGAGATGAAAGCATGTGGGCAGACGTGGAGCCAGGCGAAAGGTTTCAAAGAACCGAACGCACTGGAGACGTGAGGTTGAGGCCCTATGTCCCTCTAAGAACTAATGGAAACAATAATAATACAACGGCAGCCTTAGATCTCTACATGGAAATTCAAGGATGAAATCAGAAAATTAGCAGTAAACCACCGGTGAGAAACGAAAATATACAGCAGTTTAAATCGAGTTCACATTTTACAGATTAGTTAGGAAGTTGCAATGTACACTGTTCGAGGGGTGAACTTGATTCCACGCTGTATAGTTTTGGTACAGGTATGGAATTTTCAGCATGTTATATCGGTAGCCAAATTTTCCAGGCCGACCATAGATATCAAATGTGCGTCGGCAAAGGATCGAACTCCGGACCATGTGAATGATTGGCGAGAGTCCTAACCACTGTGCCACCTTTCCTTTTGGAAACCAAATTATACAAATATGCTCGCCTTCTTGATTATCCTTTATGATATGAAGCAGATCACATGCTGTGATCTGGATAATTTGGGTGAAATTTTCACCCTTCGAACGGTGCACATTGCGAATTGTGAATTAGATTTATGGTAACACCATGTTGTCCAAGTAGCTGGCCAGCCACAAAAATCAGGTGCTTTGAAATGATTCGGTTCTCTGGGCTGAATCAAACTAGGTGCCTCAAAACTAGCGGAACATCAGTCTGATGCTTAGATAGCCTCGATCTGGCTGACAAACAGCACTACTAGTTTATATGAGTGCTATCCAACTACTCATTTCAATCAGTCAGTAGTATATAGTTCTATACAAACAGCACTTTAGTTACTCAGTTCAGGAGACCACGTTTTTCAGAAACTTGTTTACAGAATATTTCACTGTGACTTAATTTACGAATTTCCTGGTGTATGTTAATACTGAAAATTCTTTCTTTCTCTTTCAGAATGTCTCGGAACTCATGGAATTCTTAATATTTGCGACCTACGACGTAGTGGAATAAGTTTCCCTAAACGACCAGAATTCTTTGTGCTGACTTGTTCAACTTTACCACTTGTTGTCAGTGTTCTTTCAAGACCGTTATTCACACCTTTATCCCCTATGCATAAATACTTTATCCTAGGATGGGGTATGGCACAGACACGTTTCTTTTTTGATTTATTCACAAGAACTGCTACTATTTATCACCTTGTTTATTGGGTCTATCGTACACCGATTATACACTTAATCTGGCATATCTGTTTCATATGTGAACTTCAATGTAAAAAAATACACGAAAATGCAAAAACACTGTTCCAACGACGAAAATCTGTTACTAAAACTGTTAAAGCATCACCAAAACGTTATGGTAAACAACAGCCAACTAGTCGAGGAAGAACTACTGAATGGGGTTATGCTGATAAAAGGCGTAAATCACGATCGGGTAAGAGTTTTCGTACAACTAGTGGTGATTCGGTACCGTCGCCTAAATCATCGTCCACTAATAATTCAAGCGGTTTGAATGAAAAGAACAACATACCCACTCCAGTTGTCAATGCTGGTGGAGTGAGTCTGATTGCACCACAGCCGTTGATTCCTGGCTCGATTAACCAGTTACCACCTGATATGGTACCTAATTTAAATGGTATAATGAATCCTTATGGACAAATGATGGTTATGCCAGATGGTTATAACATGTTTCCTGGAGGAGCTGTCGGCCAACAAACAAATCCATATGCAATGAATATGGGGTATGGAATGGGCTATGGAATGCCAATGAATATGGGCAATTATATAAATCAGGTAAATGCTTATAATCAAGCCAACTTTATGTATCCTATGGCAAACGGAATGAATTCGGATACAGGAAAAGATAGTTCTACTAATACAACAGTAACGGATAAGCCATTGCTCAATGACACATCAGAAAAAGCAGCACAGATTAAACAAAAACCCAAGATTGAAATTCCACCACCCACTAAACAATTTCTCTACCGCTGTAAACGCATTCTACCAGGTTGCATTTATATAGCCTCTTTTCTAATTACTCTGCCGTCGATTGCTGCATTTGAACCAGAAGAAGTAGACGGTATGACTCTAGCTAGATGTACTACAATGTGTCGTTCTTATTTTTATTACGATTTGGTTGTATTGATCACCCTACCAACCGTTTCAGTGATCACTGCCTTCTACTATTCTGCATTAAGCAAAAAGCAGATTAACGGAGAACGAAAAATGACATATCGTTTAAGATGCTATTATGTAACATTCATCCTGTTAAATATTCCAATGTTTGTTTTAATGCTGACGTCTATTGGTTTCCGTTTAAGTGAAAAACCATATCGTAATATTTATGGGACTGGTATATTGATTGCTATGACTGCTTATCATACAAATTTCGCTTTAAAATCAACCGTCTATACAACAGGTTGTAATTGTATTTGTTGTTCAGATAGCTGTTTAATTCGATATCCAAAAGTTGGTAGAATGATTGCTTCATTTACAACTCCAGTAGCTGTTAAAGATAAAGAAGCCCTGCTAGAAGGTATGGTTATTCCAGTACGTTATGAAAAATAGGCAGCCTACATAACAGAAAAAAAAATGAGATTTCCCTGAATTTTACTCCTCTATACAATGATCAGAAACAAACATTTTTGTGATCTGTATCAATCACTGGTAAAACTGTTACACACATAAATACAAATTCAGAAGATGTTTCATTACCCTACATTCAGTTGTGGAAAAAAACTGATTGTATTATTTATCTTGTACATTCAATGTTCAATGGAATACACATACTTTACATTTTGTTTAAATCGATATGTTATTTAAGTGTAGATATTATTTGAAAATATTTTTCGCTTGCAAAATAAGTAAACAGTTTAGCTTATTCTTATTATTTCCTGTATTAAAACATTACATGACAAAAATGAGTGAAATAGCTTCAACTTTTATTTTAATATCCACAAGCAAGAGTAAACTGGATTAACTGTCTTTTGTAAAGCATAAAAAATTTCGATCAGATTTTTATATTTCAGTGCTACAAATTATTAATTAAGCGTGAAACAAAAATCTGTGGCTGTCATTTTCTGTTCAGGAATATAGAATTCTCCTGGAAGTTGTACATTATCTTAATATAACCATCACTTGAACAGAACTTTTCCAGTACTAACAGTTGCAGTCTACGTTAAGTTAAAATATTTTTTCTTAGGACGTTTCATAAAACTCTCTGGTCATGATGTAGATGGATGCACATTTCGTCCCATTTAGGACTCGTCACCTGTATGTATTTATAATCCCCACTGAGTGATAATGTTCTCACTGAGGCTCAAACCCAGCATCCACCGCTTTAAATACCAGAATGTTATCCACAACATTTAGACAACGAATCCCAAGGAGAGAGAAACGCGTACCACAGATTCCCTTGCTAGGCGTTATCCACTAAATAACACGAAGTTAATCCTCAGACATTCTTGAGGCGTCCGTACTAGGAAACACACATTTAACTTAAACTCCATGACCATGTTCAGACAAGTGATCAGTGCTGGGAATGACAGCTCATCTGATAGCACACACACACATGTCTTGTGTATTTCATTTCAATGGATCATATAAAGGTCTGATCAAGATTATCAAATATCCACAGAACACTTCCCAGTGCTAGGCATATGACTGCATAAAAACTCCACTGCAAAGCTCTGTCATACGAAAAATATGGTCAGGAAAGTGCGTGAACACCATTTCATAACTATCCATCACTTTGTGGTACAGGCTACACAGACAAACAGTTCTATTCTCTCCTAATTACTACTCATTTAGACTGTCCAACTGTGATGTCGTCCTTTTACAAAAATCTGGACAGTATATCCATGAGTAGCAGATCTGTTCCAGCTGCTTTTCGTTGATGTCACATTTGCTTTACAGGAACTGAGTCACACTAGTTTTGCTTTTGACAAGGGACTGACTGAGAAAATATCCTCAGACCATTGCTAGATACAGGTGATTCTTCTAATCCACGCGTTAACTGCAGTTTCTGGCCGTTTTAGTCTGTATTTCTTCACGTAAATAATAAACACACCCTACTTATTCGAGGTTTGATGAGTTGAATTGGTAGGAAACGGAAAGTTATAAGGAGCTCAAAAGCTCTCTATCAATTAGATTGGTGTTTTTTTAATAACATAATCAAATTAACTAACTGTTATCACTGTGCCTTGCAGGGACTTTTTATGTTTATTTTTAACTTCAGAAGAATTAATTACCCACTGTGTTATGCTTGGTTACAATACTAGTTAAGCCAAGTTAGTTGTTGACACTCTGTACAGAAATTCATATACAGCCATTAAGATGCAACACACCCAGCTAATCAATCCCAAATAGGTTGGAACATGCGTTACGCTGCTAGATATCATCAGCCGGATAACACTATGCAGAATTATCAATTTTTAGATATGCATCACAAAAGAAGAAGAAATAAGTATCATTCCAGGAATAGCCCTTGTTCAAGTATTGGTTTGTAGGGATTTAGTTGATTGATTAATTGATTTCATCATGAGCTGATATTGGTTAGAGAACCATTGGAAAACCTGGGAGTGCTGGACAGCCAGCTGTTTCGTCCTAATTTGGGACTCTTCATCGGTACGCACCCACAACGCATGGTTCAAACCCAGGGCCTCACACCCGACCTGCTGCACCCAACTGGTCACGACTTGCCACTAGACAAATACTCGCCGAAGACATTGGCCAGAGGTCGCGGTATATCGTGAATTGACAGAAGTTAGAACTCACGGGTCATTGGATCGAGTCCCAGTGGCCTAATGGTCTACGATCTCGCTAGCCTTGTAACCAGAAGGTCCTGGGTTCGGACCGTGGCGGTGGGTGCGTACTGATGAAGAGTCCCAAACTAGGACGAAACATCTGTCCAGTACTCCGTGCTGGTTTTCCAATGGTTCTCTAACTGATGTCAGCTCATGATGAAATCCTGTAACCAAGTAACCCTGTGTTATTTATATTTAGTTTTAAATATACTTTATTTGTCTTGAAAGTCAAACAATGGTTGCTAGGTAGCTTGACGGTGATTGCCAAGCGAAAAATAGCTTTCGACATCCGCATAGTCTCAGAAAATGAAACTGATACTAAATTTACTGATAAGCTGACATACTGATATGTTGTTTAAAGTGATTCAGTGAGATCTGGTTTTTACGGTCTTTCAGAGAAACAACACATCAGTGATGAAGCTTTCCATGGACTTAACACGGCCTTTATGTTGTGTTATTTAAGCCAAAATTTCTTTGCGGTTCATGAGATATCACAGTATCTGTATCAGATGTCTAAATGGAGAACACAATCGTGAAAGAGGCTTTTAACAAATACGGATACATTACTCCATTATGGATAAGATTTTATTTTGATAAATCACACACAGTGTTGTACAGTAATATTAACTGATGCGACCACGTTTCGATCACAAACTATTTCTCATAATCATATCAAGTTACTCACACAAATTCTTTCCTTCATTTATATACATGTGTGGAATCGACTAGATATTGGATTAAAAATCAATATGAGATAATGTACATTCAGAAATAATAATACGAGTGTTATTCATCAATTACAATTAGATGGGAAATAAGACGAGTGTTCTTATAGTCATAATAAGGTACTTGCTAGAATGTTGTGATGTATTTGAATTGAAATAGAATTTTAAGATTATTTATTATCCTCTTCTGATTTGACTGATTCGTGGTAATAATATCTTCCATATTTCTGATATTTGCATCGAGTCATTCCTCTTGCATGTGTTGAGTGTAGACTCAATGAACCAGGATTCAGTAATCAATCTCTCTCTTTACCTACACAGATTACTTTTTAGAACTCTAACCCTATCCCACCCATATCGTGTAGTTGTTTAGTAGTTGTTCCGGAGGTAAAATCCCAAGACCACCAGTGATGGTCTGCTATATGACACTAATCTTTCTGTTTGAAGTGATGTAACGTGAGAATAAAATCTATGATCTTTGCTGGTTATTAGTCAATTTCCCATAACACTTACCTAAGGTGTCCGTATTCTTGAAAGTATAATGGACTTTGTTTTCAGTATATCTGTATGTGCATCAGACCAAGCTTTTAATAATTTTAGTACTTCAACAGGTAATACACAATGTCCTCATACTGACATACTGTGCGTCGGTAGCACAGTGGTGAAAACTCTCGCCGACCACGCACATGGTCCTAAGTTCGATCCCTGCCGATGCATATCTATGGTCGGCCTTCAAAATTTGGGCTACTGATATCCATGCTGAAAATTCCATACTTGTACCAAAAATACAGTGTGGAATCAAGCGATAAATCAAGAAAAAATATTGTGTGATTGTTTGTTAATGCGTGAAGTATAACTGCTGAGCTTTCTCCTAAATTACTTATCTTTTCAGGGTCAACCATTCTTCCCTTAGCTAAATTCTTATGTTACGATAAGCTGACTACTCCCCGACCTACTAGTTTGACCTATATAGTTAACCTCACTCGCAGTCACTGCAGCGTATTTTGTAAATTACATTATTTTGTCTAACTGGGTCAACCTGCAGGGTCCTTTAACCTACAGAGCTTGTCCCTGAGTGAGTTTGTAGGTTTGAATACCGCCTTAATTCCTGCTTTATTAAGAATCCTACGTGGGGTCTCAGATGTCCCCTCCGTTTATGGTATAACAGTGGATGATTTATATTCTTTCTTATTTGTGTTATCACTACTAGTTTCACGATTATTTTTATTTTGCTTTTGGCCTTTACTGATCTTCCTAATGAATTTTATAGGATTGTTATTCAACACCCACCAGCTATTCGTCTATCTGTTTTATTTCATCATTTATGTCTTTTCTTGTGCTACTTAGTGCTATGGCTGGGTTTGTGAGACACTTAACTAAGCCTGCCTTAACAGTTAACGGTTGAGATTAATTAAAATCTAAGTATCTATTAGCGGAATGCGTTGGTTTTCTATAAACACTAGTGTGTAGTTTGCCTTCTTCTATTCGTTTTATTTTGCAATCTAACTTAATGGCTAATTCTCCTTGTTCATTTTCCGATCCAAATGTGAATTTTATTCCCTCTATTTATGAGGTTATATATGTCAAGAAGCTGTATAACACTGTGTGATTTATCAAAATAAAATATTATCCATAGTGGAGTAGCAACGGCTATGTAATGATCGAACCTCAGATTACTTCGTGAAGTTAGTTATCGACTAATGAGAACTTAGAGATTTTTAGTGAAGACTGTTAGAATATAACATATATGAGATTTGTGAAACTGTTCAGATACCCAAACCCATTTATCAAGTTGTATTTGGTAGTTTGGATCGCATTCATCCGGCTTTGGTGATGAGAAAAGCAAATTCAAATTTGGTATTGTAGTAATGAATAGATCCGATTATAATGAGAAATTGACAAATAAACTATCAGACAATACCAAATTCTTCGAATCACTCAACCAGAAAGACACAACCGAAAGAAGTGAAAACCTACTTACAAAATTGCTGAAGAGACTGAAAGAAGATTCAGTCATAAACCGGAGGTTTATGAGCAAATAAAACCATGCAGTTCAACTATTTCAAGACTGTATGGAATGCCTAAAGTGCATAAGGAGAATGTCCTACTTCAGCCGGTCATAGACATGTTTAACTCATCATATCACCAAATCGCGAAGTGGCTAACTGATATCCTCTGAACCAGTTAAAAGACATATAATAAAATATAGCCAAAGAGATACATTTGACTCATCGACTCAGCGAAGGATGTCATTGTGTGGGAAAGACAAATGATCTCATTAGATGTCGCCTCTCTATTCACAAGCATCCTCCTAACCGAAACGATATGCTTCATTTGTAATTACATCGAAACCAAAAACCTAGAAGTTCTTCTCCCCATAAACTTCCTGAAGGAACTTCTTCTCAGACATACGTTCAATATCCAGTTCAAATTCAATGAACAGTTCTATGTACAGAAAGATGGGATAGCCATGGCGTCTCCTCTTGGTCCACTCCTAGCCGACTGCTTCATGGCGGGTCTTGAAAACAACATCCTCAATCCCTTGATAAGTCAACTGCACTTATACAACAGATATGTAGATGATACGTTTATAATCTGTGATGAAAAATCTGATTTAGATTCTCTCCTCAAAATCTTCAACGCAGGGCACCCATCGATGAGACTCACCTAATAACGCGAATCGAACAACAAATTTCCATTTGTCGATTTACTACTCACCAGAAGACACGACTATACGATCCAAAGATCGATATACCTCAAGCCAATATGGACTGGACAGTTTATCAACTTCCAGAGCTTTGTTCCACTGATCCGAAAGAGAAACTTGGTACGTACATTGTGCTCAAGGATTAGAAAAATCTGCTCGGATGACACGGTGGAGAAAGAATTAAATTTATTGCGTGAACCCTTACTAGAGAATGGGTTTCCGCCAAGATTCATCGACAAAAACATGAAGGAGAATCCCCCGGTGTCAAATATCACAACGGTTCCTAAGAAGATTCTCTTCATGAACCTAGAATTCAAAGGTGACATCGCAGCGGAAATTCTCAGAAACCGCCTTTCAAAAGTCTGCAGAAGACATTCTCAACAGCCACTCTACGTATAACATTCTCCTGCAGACAGTTAATCCAATCTAACATTAAGGACAAGATACCGCTTTTGGCCACTTCAATGTGTATTTATCAATTCACTTGCTCGTGTGGAGCAAAGTATATCGGCCGTACGCAACGTCAAGTCCACAAACGTATCCTGGAACACTGCCCAGCTTGGTTAGCCAGAGGAGAAAAAAAGAATAGCAACAGCTCAATCCTCGAACACCTTGTTATCTCCGGACATCGAGCACCCCTACACGAATGCTTCACAGTGGTACGCAGAGTCCCTCAATATCGTACAAAATGACTCCGGATACGACATCTGTACGTAGCTGAGGCATTAGCTATTCGTGACCTAAAACCAGACCTATGCATAAAAAAACGATACATACATTCTCTAGCCCTACCATGGCCAGAGTAAATTTCTTACTATAATTTTTCTCCTCTCTTTTAATATGTAAGTTCACTATTATTTATTGTTATTATTACTGTTCTTAATACTTTTATTATTATTACTATTCCCACCATCCACATTTTATTACCACTCTACTACTGTTTATTAATAACATTGCTTTCCACACAGATCTTACACAAAATACTTTATAGCCTTTCCACTAGTTCCTGTCCGTTCTACACTAGCTTATTGATTAGTCATTATCTCACACTTATTACGTCATGCCAACTTCTGTCTTCTTTCTAACTTACAATTAGTCATCCCTTCTTACACCTCACATTATGTAGTAGAATTTTCAAGGACAAAGTTTAC